TGTATTTTATTATTTATTTTATATTTTTATTTACTTCCTCAAAAGAAGGAGGGGGGGGGGAAACAAAGGAGAAGAAGGGGGAAGGAGAGAGAGGGGGAAAAAAAAGAAAAAAACAAAACAGATAATCTACTTCCATGTCTGCTGAAAAGAGAAAGACTACATACAACATCTGTACTAATTACAACGACCATCAAACGTAAATGTTGTTGAACAGCACACACAACCAGCATTACAACACATGCCCAGAAACAACAGCCGATCAAGACAGTGTGTGTCCGTGAGCACGTGTCCGTGAGCACCTGTGTGCACACCTGTGTGTGTCAGCGCGCTGGTGTTCCTAAGGTTCCTCCATGTAACTGTCTAGTAGTGTGTGTGTGGGGAGCCACAGCCCCGCCAACCCAGGACATGAAGCCGACATGGAGGAGACCCGGGCCCCAGACATCCAGAGTCCCCATGGGCACGGGAACCCCAGGAGGACCACCGCAGGGACAATTGCAGCCCCCACCCAGAAAAGGGCAGAGGAGCGCTCCTGGAGGGGGGCCATCCTGCAGCCACATCGCAGGAGCCCCAGGGGGCCATGGCGGCGACCACACCAGGGCAGACCGGACCCCGGGCCCAGAGGTCCAAGGGCCCCCCCACCCCCCATCCGGGACCTGACAGAGCCGGAAGGACCAGGCCCCGACAGGCAACCGCCGAGAGTGAGCCAGCACACACCAGAGCATCCAGCCCCGGACATCGAGAACCACCAACGCATCGGCAGCCGGGGTCCTCATCCACCGGCAGGGAGTGTGGCAGGGGGCAATAGAGCCCGAGATGTTATTTCAGGTGGAGTCTAAGAATCAACCTGACACATGTTTATAGACAAACAGCCGTACACATACAGAAGCATACGTTCCCACCCTCATGCACACATAAACAAATATTCACCCAACATGGAGACACACAGAAATGAACGCCGTACACACACTCACACTCCCCATATATACTCTATACTCCAAGATCCAGGCACCACCACCCCCAGAGGGGCAATCCAACACCAGACCCCGAAGATTTATCCCTTTTTTCCTCTGGCGTGGGGACAAGAAGACCACCCCGGATCCCGCAGCAGTCGAGAAGCCCACCAGCCTAGACCCCGACCGGACGGCCAGCTCTTCTCAGCCCCCGGCTCCAGATAGCGAACAGAGAACAGGGGTGTGAAAAGACCCCATGCTTCCCTCCGCCCGCTCAGATGTGGTGTTGGTGCATGTTGTTCTAAAGTGCTTTAAAACAGGGGAAGGGCATGGTGCTAA